AGAAAGGTGAGTACTTGCCGGCTACGGTGTACTTGGCGAAGGGCTTTACCCAAGAGCACATCGACAGTTGCGATGATCGCCGCGAGCATCCCCACCTCGGCGAGACTATCAGAATCCCGATTCAGTCTCGCAGCACCGGCGAGATCAGGGAGTCGATTCAGGAGGAGATCAACAAGAGGGTCAAGGACGTTCGCAAGAAGAAGGGGGACCCGACCACTAAAGACTGGGACCTACCGTCGCACACCTCCAAGGAGAGTCAGACAGCAAAAGCGGAGACAGCCGCCAAGAAAGCGGCGGTGAAGGCGAAGAAGCAAGCTGTAGCCGTGGCACAGTCCTCCTTGGCCTCGGTAACCTCACTGTGGTGCTCCGTCAGCACCTGAGAAGGGAAGGAGACCGACCCGGAGCTGCTCGCCAAGCTGAAGGACCAGAAATGCAAGCTGGGCACGTGGAAGCTTTCGGCCGAGCAGGTCCTCGCGAAGAAGGACACCGAGGAGGTTGTCCCCCTTGCCTTTTCCAAGAGCGACCTGAAGACCTTGAGCAAGGAAGTCCAGGACGTGCTGGGGGACTGCAAGCAGGCCCAGAAGGAGAAGAGCAGGTTGAAACAGGCCGCGAAGGAAGCGAAGCCGGCAGCGACGGAGGCAGAGAACCCGCCTGCCCTAAAGAGACGCAGGGTCAACAAGGGCAGCTGAGCCGTCACCGAAGTAGGAGGTTTCACGTGATCCTCCGCCCAGGTAGCATTAATCATCGCACGCAGGCATGCATCTTGCAAGGCCATAGTTTTTTAGCAGCAGGTAGTTTTTTCTTCTAGCTTTCTATAATTCGATGCAATCTAATTCAAAACAACGAGAACCGATGCAGACCGCTCAGGACGAAACAAGCATGGAGTTGCGAAGACCATGGTCAGAAGCGTCGTTGTGCACAGCTTCACTCTTTCTGCAGCCAGTTCTGCTCCAGACCCTGTGTAGCCTCGCCCCTGCAGTGCCTTGTACAGTATGCGGCAGCGTCAGGCTTGTCTGTACAATGCATAATATAATATCTCTCCAGAATATATTCTTGTTCGAACTGGCAGGCGAGCCCCGACACCACGAGGCGTTCGTTGAGAGAACGTTCGCGGTCCCCCAGGGCGACGTTCGAATGGCGCTGGTGCTGGAAGAAAAGCATCGACCTGGGCGGTGCCGTCGTGTGGTGGTGGAAGTGGTTCAAGTATCCATTGGCCCGGGACCACACTTCGGCAGAAGCCAGCGAGCCGGCCGCGGCATCGTCGCGGGGCACGAAGCGGAGGTGCGAGAGGTCTGAGTCGGAGGACTCCGAGCAGTAGCTGCCAGTTTTTGCAATTGCTGTGCATTCGCGGCATGTCGCATGTCACAGCAGATGCACTGTATAGAGAGTCTGCTCAAATCGAATTTGCTTTCGCCACTGCCGTGGGACTGCATGCCCGTGAAAAGCGTGAGCCCTTCACAGCTGGAAGTAGTGCAAGCTTCGGCCTTCTTCTAATAAGCAGCCCGATACAGATCCCCGTCAGGGCTATATGCGGCCGTATTAGTTGGAAGCTGTGAGCTGGAGGGCAGTAGTGCTTGCCCTGTGTCTGCACGGCATCATGTCTATACTTTCTTGACAGGGAACCTATATATGTGGCTGCGTTGGTTCAAATACATGCAGGGAAATCCTTTAGGGCAGACCGCATCCCTCCCCGTACTGTCCGCGGCTGAAGGCCATGTCGAAGCAAGCTCGTGCGGTGCTCCAGGACGAAGGTCGTGCGGTGGACCTCTACTTCGGGAAAAACAAGGTAGGGTTCCATGGAGATTTCTATCTACACCCGAAACCCTACTAGCTTGCTGCATGAATATAAGATCTCCAGGCCCAGATGAGAATGATGACACTGAAGCATGCTTTCGCTTTGTCTGCGAATGCAACAGTCTGCGAGCACGTCGCCCTGCACGGTTGGGTTCACAAGGGCCTAGAGCCTGACGGACGTTTCCTGGACGCTGAAGCCCTGGTCCAAGGCAGAGTCGTGCAGTTGAGGAACTGCAAGCGAAGCCGCCACTGCAGCCCCAAGTCGCGGAAGACTCGCAGGCTCGGTGACAGCAGCTCCCCTGCAGACTCCAAGCAGCCCTCGGACACACCAGGGAAACTTTTGCGGAAGGAAGAGATGGCCATGCTAACACAGCGAAGTGTCAGCGACCAGCTCAACTGAGTTAGTACTTGTGTACAGAGCAAACGTGGTTTGACCCACGATCGATCGCAATAGCAGAGGAAAAAAAAAAGCTTTGCTGCTCTTTGCAAGCGTTCCACATCACGATGTATATAATAATAAGAATAATAATAACTTGACCGCGTCTGAATGCTGCATACCTGCCTCCGGAGAACCAACTCAGCTCAAGAGGATGTAGCGTCCTGTTGCCTGCCGCCCATGGAAACCTCGAGGAAACGGAAGCGAGACGAGCTGCTTTGTCTTCCGAGCAGGTCTGAGTTCATTGAGCGGCTGCAGAGTATACGTGGGCTTACCGATGCCCACATCGAGAAAATTACAGCTGGCCTGGGCATGCCTGCAATCAAGCACGACACCGGCCTGAAGTATGAGAGAGAACAAGGATGCCTTCGGGACCTTCTGCTACCAGCAGCGAAGGGAGACCCGATAAGGATCCCTGTCATGAGCCTAGCTGCGTCATTGACTGAGAAGTGCCAGGCGAACAAAGCATTCGCAGACATTTTGTCTGCGGCTGTAAAAACGGCACCTGACGGCACCCTGGATGCCCTGGTGTATGTCGACGAAGCCGTCCCAGGCAACATTGTCCAACCAGACAACCGCAGAAAAGCGTACCTCATGTACATTAGCTTCCTGCAGTTGGCCACGACGTTGCAGGCAGAGTACTCATGGACGACGGTGGGGTGCGTCAGGCATTCTCTAGTAAATGCAGCAGCTGGAGGCTTGGCCGGCGTCATGTGCGAATTCGTTGGCCGCCTGCAAGAGGAGCTCCAGGGTTTCGCAATCCAGGACAGCACGGGCTCGCCCGTTTTGGTGCGAGCCCAGAAGTTTTGGCTGCTCGCAGATGAAGCTGCTTTGAGAGGGACCATGGCGGCTAAAGGTTCTTCCGGGGTGCGGCCCTGCATAAAGTGCAGGAATGCTTGCAACGTCGGCTACAGCATCGACTCCTTGCATCCGATAACAGAGCCAGATTTTGGGGTATTTCGCCGCTTGCATGTCGAAAAATTAAAGGAATACCTGCAACACCTGAGGCAGCTTCCCAACCAAGCCCAGCTGGAGCGAGCCCAAACCCTGCTTGGCTGGCGATATGTGCCGCAGAGTCTCCCCTGCCGGCAACCCGACTTGATCCCTCCGCAGCGGGTTCTCTACGACGGGCAACATTGCTTCTATGTGAACGGTATAGTGAACGTGGAGCTGGGACTCTTCCTGGATGCAGCGCTAGAAGCGGGTGCTCTTAAGAAAACAGCAGAGCTGGCGGATGCCTTGGCAAAACATGCTTGGCAGGGTCAAGGTATGAGGGTGGCGCGACTGCTCAGTTCCAAACTCTTGCAATCCGGTGGGGAATATCGCGGCAAGGCCTCCGAAACAATGTCGGTCTTGCCTTTGGTCGTTTTCTTTGCCGAGAGAGTGCTGGCTCCTTGCGAGTTGCTGAGGGACAACGTTCGATCACTGCAGCTACTCTGCCGAATTTCTAATTATGTGCGTTTCCTGAAGCAGTCCCGGGACAAAGCGGCGGCCCGGGACATGCTCCAGCTGCAAAAGAAGCACCTTGAACTTTACGAGAAGTGCTACGGGACGGACAAAGTGAAACCGAAGCACCACTATGCGATGCACATACCTTCCCAACTTGAGGAAAGCCATGTTCTGGCTGATTGCTTCCCCACTGAGAGGCGAAACAATCTCTTCAAGCAGGATGTGGCACCCAGAATGAAGAAACTAACAGGTTTCGAACAAGCTGCCTTGCTGCGACTTGCAAGGACGGATGCCCAAATGCAAACGTCCTTCAGTTTGCAGCCAGCCTTGGAGAACCAAGACCTGATGCAGCTCTGGCACTGCAGCTTGGCGTGGCCAAGGCCCTTTGCTCCAGGCGCCTGTTGTGCAGCAGCGGTGCTATTGAAGCAAAAAAGACCGTGTACATCTTGGCTCCCACCCTGGCGGTCAATGTGAGATGCTGGGTCCAGCTCAACAATGACTGTTTCGGGCTTTGCCATAAGATGCACACGGTAAATGATTCCATTTCGTGGCTTTCTCAATGCAACAGTGTGTGGACAACGACGGAAGAGAACGTGTTAGTACCCTGCAAGTTCATCTTGCATACCTGTCGCGTGTCTTGGTCCCTTCAAGAAGGGACCAAAGTCACTTTGTTGCATTAATTATACAGACATTATACTCGCAAAGTCTGGCAAATGCCGAAAAAAGGTGCGATTCAGCAAAAGTATGGTTTTTGAGACTGCAAAAAGTTATTACGACTTATTCGGACCTGCAAGATAACTCAACATAACTCAACATAACTCAACATAACTCCGGGGCTACTTAGGTAGAAAATTGAAACCTGACACCCAGGACTCTAAAAGCTAAGCCCGCCGCCCCAGAACCCGGAACACCAAACTTAAATTCAAGCCCCAAAACCCAAACCCCTTAGCCCTAAACGATTCACAGGTTAGTGATTTAGCGGCCTGAGCTTGGCTACTAGAACTTACTGCCAAGGGTAGTAATTAGGCACCTTGCAGGGATGTATTCTCTGTAGGAGTTCATGAGATGTTGGAAAATGTGCAACACGGGTCCCAAAGCAAAAGGAATTAGGTATATGCTCAGATAACCATGCCAGATATCTGGGGCATCAGAGTGTATGATCCTTTGCATTAGAAGCCAGACCCCTCTGTCAACATAAACCATGCACCCTAAACTCCCAAACTTTAGTCCTGCACTCCTAAACTTTATAGTCCTAGACTCCGAGAACTTTAGTCCCAAACCCAAAGCTGGCAACCACCAAAGCTGTCCCTGTGACCCCGGCGCTGCATCCAAGGGCCCAGCGGCAGCTGAGAGGCGAGCCCTTGAGAGTGTGTGCATTCTTCAGCTTACTTCCATATATGTGTATATACATACATAATTATTTATCTATTTGTTTATGTACATGTATATATAAACAATATTGAACATGTGTTTATGTATGCAAATATATATATATATATATATATATATATATTTACTTCTCTTAGTTGTTTGCTATTCATAGCGGTCTTTATATGTTGCAGGTGCTGTTATGTGTTTATGACTGCGGATATTTCTGCTTTGGGCAAGGCGGCTCGGGGCTTAGATGTTCCAAGGCTAGGAGCCCCAAGGGTTGTTGCACATTGCAGGGCTTTGCAGGGTTTGGGGCTTGGGGTTCCTTTATAGTAGATACTTGAGCCTCAAAGGGGTCCCTTTATAGGTTCTGTAATGCCTAAGTATATACTATATGGGTACATGGAGCCTTAGGGCTTGAGCAAGGAAGTCCCAGCGTCTAAAAAGTCGGCGAGGGCTCCACCCCGTAACACTCAATACAACACCCTCACAGTATAGGATATCCAAGCTCCGAACTATAAGCCCCTCAGGTTCGTGACCACTGGGTTTATGCAGTCGTAAGTTGAATTAAAAATGCTTCTTATGGAACACCCAGCTCAGTGCCGCAATGTAAGATCCGTGCCCAATCGTCTTCGCCACCTCCCACACACCGTTGGCCTCGAATGTCTTGCAGTATTTGGAAGTTGAGGACCCTTCAAGCATAAACCTGAACCCTAAATCACCCTGTTGTTAGTTACGAAAATCCCAGGTACCGAAAACCGTCATCTGCATTACTGGCACCGTCTTGTCAGTAGCCGTCTTCTTCCATCACCATCTTCATCGCAACCATCATCAGCAATGTCGTCGTCGTCATCATCATTACCATCATCAGTTCCTCCAAACGACGTTCGAAAGTCTGAAAGCAACGGAACTGGCCGCTATGTTGCTGCTGATGGTGCTGACAAAACAGGGGAAGAAGGTGATGTGATGATGCGATGCTGGCGAGTGTGGAATTCTTAGTCATAAGCTCGTCACGGTTGTCTTCATGTTTCGAAGTTAACACACCGTAAACTCTCTGCCCTAAACAATTTGTGTGCAGCACATGGCCAATGAGAGACTGTGGCATGAACTTGGTTTGCCCATGCCGGCCCAAGGCGAGCTGTACCTTCCCTGACTTACGAATCTGCCTATCTGTCAGGTTTCAAGTCATGAACAAACATGTCTTTTAGTTTTATAGTGCGTAATATTATCCCAAAAAGTGTAAAGTGTATCCACTCAGCTACTAAACACTAATCTGCCTGTCTGACCGGTCACAAACCATGAAGAAGCGGGACTGGTGCTGCTTACAAGTCTTGGAAGTCATTCCCTGGCTCCAACAGCTTAAGGCTTGGGTTTAGGGTTTAGGGTACCCTAAACCCTGAACCCTAAAGTTTGCTAAAAAACCTTGAGGGGAACGCCAGCGGCTCAAGGGTAAGGGCTAACTATGCCCGAAGTAGCCACTACTTGAAACCATAAGGGCTCCATTACAGGGTACTTGGGGAGTGCTGGCAAAGCAAGAGCAGAGATCCAAAGTAGAAGGATCCCGGGGGACTTTCGGCTGAAGGTTTAGGGTTTAGGGTAATGCCGAAACCCTAGAGCCTAAAACCCGAAACCGTCAGCCCAAAACCGCGAACACACACACACACACACACAACTAGTATAGTTGGGCTTACAGGGTTCAATTTGCGGGGGTTGGTGTTTCAAGTTTAGGGCCTTGCCTTCAGCACCTTCATGGATGCATTCAGCGCAGAAGCCTTGGAGCTGCAACATGTTTTGGGGCAACACGCCTTGTGCATAGAGGGCTCAACATATTAGCTGCAGTAGTGCTTTGCAGCATCACTTAAAGTCAAAGCCATAAGGTAGCCCGGTTAAACCTGGGCCCAAACAAATCGGTTCGCATATTTAAACCACCTCCTTGCAAACTTCCCACCTTTCTGGAATCCAGAGCCCCGACCAGCTTGGAGTCGAGAATAGTTTTCGGGTTTAGGAATTTAAGGATTTGGGATTGAGGATGTAGGTTTCAGGTTTTTAGTATTTTGGAGGGAACCAGGCCAACAGTCCGTCCTAAACACCGCAAAACCCGCAAACCCACCCAAGAAAGCCTAATCGGGGGGGGGGGGGGGGGGGGGGTTCAGGGTTTGGCTTGTAGGGCTCAAGCCTCTATACCCAGAGAGCCCAATACCCCTTAATTAATTAAGAAATCCTTAAGCCTTAAATCATATTAGGAGCTTCATACTATGATTTCAAACTATATTCCTGAATTAAGGGGTATTGGGCTCTCCGGGTACCCTACAACACACAATAGCAGATACTAGTAGCACCTAGGGCAACTTCAGGTTTCTAAAAGTTGTCTTGGGCTGCGGCGACTGAACCTAGGCGCTCCTGGTTCTCGCCCTTGTTCAACCTGGGCGCAGAGACACACGGGGTTTAGGGGATACCTGGAATTTGAGAAACCTTCCTTATTCGGGCATTATATAATTAAGGCTCCGTATAATGTAGTAGGATTTCTTTGTATGCAGTCGCTGAAAAAGGTATTCCCGCGGCATCCAGGAGGCCCCTCGTCGTATGCGTCGTACGTCGTGTCTACCCATAGGCCCCAAAGTGGTTCCTTTTTATTTTTAAGAATACCTAATGGGGTTCTATATATGAACCCCCAAAAGGAACTACTTTGGGGCCTTAGGGTAGCTTGGACCAGCCTGGTAGTCCTGCAGGTCCGCCTGGTCGAGCTGGTGCTGGTTGTCCTAGTGCGGCGGAAAGCACCGCAGTCCAGCTGGAAAAGACTGGAAGCAGCTCCATCCACACACCTCGCAAGCGCATTCCTCGGCGCTCGCCCTCGGTCCTAGGTTTCTCCCTTACGGTTTGGGTTTAGGGTTTTACGGTTTTGGTTTAGGGTTTAGGGTTTGGAGTTGAACGGGATTCCGAATCTGCAGTCGGGGGTTCTCGGGCTCCTGAATTATACTGTCCAGGTCGGTTATCGCAAGGCTTTCTTCAAGATCGGCATCCTGAGTCCACCTTGGAGGTTCATGTGCAGCTAATTATAGTTGAGCTAACTATACTTATATGGCAAGACCACAATTCCTCGACACCCCTGCGCCCCAAGTCCTGAACTCTCAACCCCAAAACCCCAAAGCCAATCATCGTAAACATAAAAACCTTTAACTCATATAACATGCCCCCCAAAACCTACCCCAAAAATTCTAAAACCTACGGCGACAATAGCTAAAACACTGAGCCCCCAACCCCTAAACCCACAAAGCCCTCATTCCTAAAACTGAAAAAACAGCCCTCTGAGCCCGACCTAAGACAACGACACCCGAAGTCCTAAATCTCAAAGCCTGAAAACTCCCACGCCCTAAATCCAAAAACCCTACACCCGAAACCCGAAACCCTAAACCCTAAATCCAAAACCCCTACACCCGAAACCCTGAAGCCCCATAGACCCCAGACCCTGCACCCCTGCTTGAATACTGTACTTTGGGCTAAATGGATTTCTTTTGTGTGAAGTCACGGCTTAGGGGTTAAGTACCCGTAAAAAATGTAAAATATTGACCCACTTGACAAAGTAACCAAGTGTCGTCGAGGACCCCGCCCCCAGTAGTCAGACGAGCTGGACATGCCCGCAGGAAATGAAGAGCCTGCGCGCGGATTCTTGCGAAGATTGGCTTTGGAGGTTAAGTTAGAAAACTTCGCTGGCCGCTCGAAAGACTAGAACAATAGTTGAACAACTATCTACACAGTGACCGGGTCTGCAAGAAATTTCGCAGTCTGCAGCTGCGGCCTGAAGTTTCAGGTTCAGAGAAGCCTAGAAAGCGCCAGCGACAAGTCCCTGGAGCTCACCTAGACGGTGCGTCTGTACTGCCATGATAGAACTATAGGCCTATAGGACCCAAGATAAGCTGGTTTTTTGGGACCCAAACAAAACCAAAAGGGCCGTAATAACTAGACTAGGGTGCTGGGCTCCCTGATAGTTTCAGTCTAGACCCTAAACCGCTAAACCTAAAGGACAAATGTTGGCGATTATAAGTATTCCGCAGAAGCGCTGACTACACCTCAGCGAAGCAGCCGGTGATGCCCGCAGACCCCCCCCCAATACGGAAGTGTCGTGGGCCTTAAAGGGAACTCCAGAAAGTTGGAATATGGTTTCAGGGTAGGATACCCTATAATTTACCATATAAGGGGTTTAGGATAATCATATTCCAACTTTCTGGCTTTTACTTTAACCCCAAGGGTCCAAAGGACCCAATAATTAGGTACTCGGTTTTCGGATAGCAGTTATGTAGGGTAGGGTTCGGGAGAGTATATGACTATTCGGTACTTGGACCCTTGGGGTAAGTACAGTCATGAATCTACGAAAGAGGCCTATACAATTTCCTACACTACTTTTGGGGGGGGTGGCTCCTCACAATAATTATAGTGCGCTGGGCCCCCAAACCCTATTCTAATTATTAAGGCCCCTTTATGTTCTGGGCCGAAGTTGGAGGCTGTAGGGTTTCAGGGGTTGGAGGGTTTCAGGTTTAGGTTTGGAGTTCGGGATTTAAGGATTAAAGGGTTCTATGTAGGTTTAGGTTTTAGAGTTACGGAGTTAAGAGTTTTAGGGCTTTTGAATGTTTAGACTTTACGCTCCTGAACATCATTGCTGATAGCTATTATAAGAACCCCTCAAACCCACAAATTGTAGCACAGGGGCCTCAACGATGAACATACATTACTCAGTTGAAGACCGCTCGAAGTTGTGTACAACCTGCAGAACACATCTATTCGGCTACAGAACACATCTATTCGGCTGACATCCCGCATTGCCTGCTGAATCGGCTTCCCAGAACAGTGCATGGAAGCGGGCCTGGACAAGAATGGCTGTTCATGCTGGCGGATCAAAGTTCAGGGATGCGGGTCTTTTGTTTGTCCGGGGTTCACGAATATGACTGTTGGATCAAGGTTTAGGGGTACGTGCCTTTGGTTTGGGGTTTACGAATATGGGGGTTTCCGAAATAGGGGACCCTAATATAGGGCCCTAAATAGTAGGATCATTATCATAAGGACCCCAAAGTACGGTACCCGTCATTCTCGGAAACTCCCATCTGGAACACATACTCGGAACCCGTAACAGAAAGGATGTCCGACACCCTGAACCCAAATGGGAGTTTCCGAGAATTAGGGGTACCTTATGTGGGGGGTCCTTAAAATAAGGATCCTACTATATAGGGTATTATATCAGGGTCCCCTATTTTCGGAAACTCGGAGCATGGCCACGCGTGGCGCGTCTTTGATATCCTGCTGCTTCTCCCTAGAGTCTCACCGTCTTTGCCTAATATGTGGGCCTTCATGATTAGCGGATACAAATTACAGACAGATAGATAGATACACATACATGCATTCATTCATACATTACATACATGCATACATTCACACATACATACATGCAGGCATACATACATACATTAAAATTTTATATAACACATTAACACAATGGTGCATTACATACATTACATGCATTGCATACACTACATGCATAGGTACATAATATGCACACACACATACATACACACGTACATGCATGCATGCTATCCTTCCTTCCATCCATCTATGCATGCGCATGTACATGTACAGAGAATGGACATCTATAGACATGTGGCGTTCTAAACACGTCGAAACACTCGTCACTCGTCCGTTGAGGGTCCATAATACAAGTATAGTAGAATGTACCACTCCAAACCCGGAAAGCGGCGAATGTCCAGTAAGAATACGGGTTTAGGGTTTAAGGTTTTGGGAATGCCGAACTAGCTTGGCCCATGAAACAGCTTCACAAGTACGCGGAGATCAAAGCCTCGAAAATCGACTAAGGTAGAGCAGACAATGTCACAATGGCATACAGTAAACCCCATAAAGTTGGAAACCGGATTAAGGCCAAATAGTGCTGGGATTCCTTATACATTACTCTTAAGGATTGAGGCTATTGGGTTTCCAACTTTGTGGCTTCTACTGTATCTGGGGAGCATACGGGCTAAGATAGTCAAAAACAGCCGATACCTAAATCCCAAAACCCGAACCCTAAGTCCAAGACCCTAAGCCGCTTACTCAAATAATCACCAGCACACAACTTCCGAGCTTCCAACCAGCCAGGTAAGACTCGCGTGGGCACCAGGCACATCCAAGCCATCAGGGTGCAAAGGGAAATCGACCTAAGCAAGAGGCTTTAGGGATTCCGGGTTTAAGTGGCTCGGGTTTAGGTTTCGTGGGCTGGGAATTTGTACGCATGTTGGTTTCGTTGCGGCTTGAGGTTTGGTTGGTTTGGTGGGTTGAGGGTCGTGGATTTTTGGGCAACCTCACCCCAAAAGAATCATAGAGGCCTGATGGCTGTGGTCAGGAGTAGAGGGCATCTGGGGTCTGGGTAGGTTTGGGGTCGAGACTTGTTTAGGATCTCGCAGTTGAGCGCTGGAAGGCTTTCTTATTGAATTCTAACGGGACTTAAATATTTCTAGATAAGGCCACTATACTAACAATTACCCATACGAAGTGCCAAGTGGGGCCTCGGGTTTGGGGCCAAGCTTGGGCTTGGAGAGACTGGGGGTTTAGGATTTAGGGTTGAGGGTCGCCAGTGATGAGTGTTATAGAATAAGCTTTTGGTGTAGGCTCCTATATATCCTCACCTCAGAGCCGAATGTCAATCCTACACCCCAAGCCCCTCTGAAATCTAAACCCATCATGCCCTCGTAGTACTTGGAGGCTCATGAGTAGTTAGAGGTAGATTATAGCTTATAAACACCCATGAACCTCCAAGTACCCTTGTCTGGGACATGCCATAGTTGCAGTTTCACGGTCTAAAGGTCCAGCGGTTTTCACTTGGGCCTTTGCGAGTTGTTGTTCCGGGGTTTAGGACGTTTGGGCTTTGGGGCTTGCGGTTTATGCTTTAGTTTAGGGCTGAAGGGTCTTTTGGGTGCATCGTGCATCGCTCTAGCATTGCTGCGTGCGGCAAGGCACAGGTTTCTGCGGGTGTTGCAGGGTTCTTCAACCGGAGTTTCGGCATGCTTTCATTTCTTTCAAAAAACAAATTCCGGACATTTGGTTTCTTTTTAGTTTATAGTTACAAAACCCCCTGGTGGAGCTATATACGTAAGTCTTGTTACGCTTTAAATGGGAGGGAGCTGTGTACTGCACCCTAGGGCTGCGGTTGTCTCAGGGCCTTTTGCGTCAGCCATGTAGTGGTAGCCTTCCTGGTATCAAAACCCAAACCGCCGAAATACAACCTTGTAAAGAAACACCCTAAATGCGAAACCCCAAACCAACCCCAAGCGCTGAAGCCTAATTACTCACTGGCCCAAAACTCAAGGAAATAAAAGTTGAAACTTTCAGAATCGACTACCTTATATAGAGCCCCAAAAGTTCAAAAGTTGAGTTTACAGCCAATAAGATTAAGCCATGCGCCTATGCGACAGGCTCAGAGCATTGAGTTGTTCGTGCCCGCTTGGAGGTTCCATGATGCAACCAGACACCTGGACCCCCAGTAACCTAAATTTTCAGGGCTCTTTACTACGACTCTGTTCTTTTGTGTTTCCAAGCCCCGAAAAACATATTTGAGGTTCAGGCAATCAAGCCCAAAATCCTCAACCCTAAAACCTAAAACCCGAACCCGAGGCACTGCCCAACTCCAAACTCCCAAAATGTAAAGGAGTGACCCGATTTGGGGTTTAGGGCTTGGAGGATTTGGGGTTTATAGGGCTAGGGGTTTGGGTTTATAGGGTCTGGGGTTTGGGTTTAGGATGCAGGGTGTCGGGTCGACGAAGGTGTAACCAGGAGCCCAAGTTGTGGCTTCTGACACATACTGAAGCAGCTGGAAGGCCTTCAGCAGTACATAAGCCTCAAAATCCTAAAACCCGGCACAGGTAGATAAGAATCCGAAGGAGGCTAAGAGGTGGGAAGAGAAGCACTTCAAAAGTTCTTGTAATTTTTGTAAAGAGCACACACAGGAGCAAACTAGGCACTAGTTGCTAGTTACTAGCTGAAACACACAGGTATATAAGTAGATATCTATACACATAAAGATATATCCATTTATGCATACATGAGCATGTGTATGTGTAACTTTAAATATAATAAACAAACAGATACATGTCTGTATATATATATATATATTTATGTACAAAAGAGTGTTTGTCTGCATAGCTATATACATATAGCGAGAAAGAGGTACCCGTATGACACCTGTATACATATAAACAGGTATGTTGACAGCAGGCTACGGTCCAGTGAAGAGGGCACTCTGAGATGTGTGCAGTGAGGTCATCGAGAAGGAAGCAAAAGCCACTACTCGGGCTGTCTTCACCTCGGGTCAGACTACATTCAGGTTCATGGGTTCTTAAGGTTTTAAGGGTTGTATGTAAGGCTATCTTATGGATTATCGAAGAGTTTGAAAGCTTCTTCAGTGTTAAAGTCTCTTGGCAGTCGCCAAACCCCAAAACCTAATGTAGGAGCCTGATCTTTTTTTTGCAAAAAAAAAACTTGGGCCGGGTTCCTTATTGTGAACCCCACTATTTTGGGGTGATATGCCCAGGGTTTCTTAGTCAGGTTCCTACATAAAACCCTGACCCCCATTATCCCTAAATTCCCCCCCGTCCAAAACCTATACTCCTCCACCTGGCCGATCGCATGGCCTCGAGCCCAAGCCTATATATTCTTAACACATATGAGTTTCTGAAAGTTAGGGGTACTGTGTTTTGGGGACGTTAGAATAAGGATCCTAGTATTTAGGGTACTTTACTCCTATATAGACCCCAAACCCAAACCAGAAGACCCTAAAGCGCAAGAACCCAGGCCCTAAAGCCCCTAAAACCCAGACCCAACCCCACAAGGAATGCAAGGTATCCAAACCTTAAACCCTAAACCCTCCATCAGGCACCCGAACGCTTAGGGCAACAGTCTGTCGGAAGCTGCACATTGCCTTGCTCAGTGAGCCCCGAATAGTGCACTGCTGGGACTTGATAGTTTTATTTAGTTGTCGGCTTCGGGTTGAGCGTCCTAGGCGTGAAGCCGGACTTTGAAACTACACACGACATTTGGTGCGCGTCTCTGCTGAACCCAAACCCTCAAAATCCTAAACCGACCCAACTTTGGAACGGCTAACGCCTCCTCAACTAGGGATTGAACTTGGCTGACTACTGTGCCCCTCTGAAGAGAAATTTTCAACCTCCATATTGCAGCATATATGAAAGCTCGCGAAACTACTACGGTGTCACAGAACGAGCAAGAGGAAGCCAACGCAAGACCTGCAATCCGGACACATTGACAGCTTAAAGGCACATCCCGGACGCCGCCCACCCCCAAGACCCCAATCTGAATCAACAGGGTTTAGGGCTTGGGTTTGGGGATTTCAGACCCCTTAATCCATTGAGACCCTAAACTATCCTGAACTCTAAACTTTCTTCGGGTTTAGGGTTTAATCAACCGGGGCTGCCGCACATCAGCATGTGGGGCACTCGAAGGAACTTCCGCAACTTGGGAGCAGCCGAGAGATAGAACCTATAGCTTTCGGGATGGTTCTGGGTTTATAAAGCTAACTTGGAGATTCATGGGTAGGTATACAAGTGGGGTTATAAGTCCCCTAATATGGGTTATAAGTATAGTTGCCCTACGTACTTATAACTCATAACTACCCATGAACCTCCAAGTGGAGGGCTTCGAGCTTAAAGCCAGGCGCACAAGGACACGGAATTTAGATTTTCGCGTTGATGATGATGATGGATTAGCGGCCCAAGGTTTGCAAAAACTTGTGCTAGATGAATTTGGTATCACCCGCATAAGTCCAAAGAACATGATAACACGTTTGCCTTCAAGGAAACCGTATAGGATTAGTTCGAAGTTCTAGAAGGGGGTGCCAACAGGACTATATTTGGGTTCATAGATGTTCCTGGTTCGAGGGTAGAGGTCGGGAAACCAACCTCAGTTGCCAGATTTCTGAAAGTGTGAGTCACTTGAGTTTGTTGTCACACCGTTTCCCGACGAGGTCACATGCCTAGGTCATGAAAGTGCTCTCCTAGGATCCTGGCAGCAATGCAATAAACACAAGAGAAGGTCAACCAGCTCCAAGAAGCTCTGATGTGTACAGCACCAAAATCTTAATCTTGGCAGGAAAAACGTTCTATAGGTTAGAAGCTGCCCCCACCCTGTAATAGTGACTATAAGGATTATATTAGGGCCCTATTATATTCCTATTATACCACTATTACAGGGTGGGGGCCCCTTCTAATCTATAGGACCTTGGCAGTCTTCTCAAAGGATGGCAGCCTCAGAATTCTCTTCCCAGGCTACGTGGCATTGTCGCCAAAAGTGTTCTTCCTGTCTTCCATCTGAGTCTGCATGACTTTGAACTGCAAGGCATACCTGCAAGTTCGCTCAGTCTGCGAATCGGGTTTGCGGCCACACTGCCTGCAGACGATAGCTCTCGCGAACGCAGGCATGCAATTGGTCTAGGAGCGGGCGACACACGAGCACATGCGCAAGAACTCTGCAACTTCTGTGCGGCTTGATCCTTGCAGTGGTGCGAATATTCGAAGCATGTAGAAGCCTGAACAATTAAAGTAGTTTTGGGTGGCTTGACAGTACAACTAATTATGCCGAGGAACCATAACGGGCCTTAGGGGCTGCGAGATGACGGCGTTGAATTCCGCGACTACGAGTTTCGCCAATGATGCATTACACATGTAACCCAACGCAAGCCTGCCGCGTCTATAGTGAAAGTTAAGCAGGTGGCATCGGACTTATTATATTACACTAATAACACCCTCGTCTAAACATCTCAGGCCCTAAACCTCTAACTTTATAATTAACCCCAAAACCCTGACCCCTAGAGCCCTGACCCCAAATATCCTAAATCCTAAAACCGACTGGGAAGCTCATGGAGACCCTTGCTGGAGCCCGAAAATGCCTTAAAGCGAGCCCTGAACACATACCGAAACCCTGACAGCCCGAAGTTCCCCAAACCCCAAACCGTAAACCCTACACCCCAAAATCCTATAAACCCTCCACCCTAACACCCTAAACCCTAAACCCTCAAACCATCCAAAATCGCTACTGACCATTTGCACGGGAGCTCGAGACTCCAGTCGAGGCCCGGTTCGGGGCGTCGATGGCTTTAGGGGTTTAGGGTGTAGGGTAAGTCTCTGAAGTAGGGTTCCTTTAAGGGTACCTTCGAAGAGCTCCTTTAAGGGTACCTTCACAGGGTTCCTTTAAGGGTACCTTTAGAACGGCGGTGACAGTACTGACGCCGCTCCACTATTGACCCTTCTACCGTCAGGCAAGTAATGAATCAGCCATTGAAGCGATATGGGAGTTTCCGAAAAGCAGGGGTGCTTTACTTCGGGGTCCTTATAACACGGATCCTACTATTTAGGTTACAACATTAGGGGTCCCTTATTTTCGAAAAACTCCCACATGTTTGTTGTGGGTCTGGCTTGGGGGTTTCTGGGGGCTATTGCCATGTCTGGCTGAGCCCCCTAAACCCTAAACCCCTAAATCCTAAACCGCTAAACCCCTAAACCCCTAAACCCTAAACCCTCCAGGCTGATCGATCCTGGGTCAACTTCCGCAAAAGGGCTTGCAAGATTTGACACTGCCTGCTTGGAAGGGCAGGGGACTTAGTAAGTAGGTTATAAGTAGGGATATAATTGGGGTAACTCCATTTAGGGTACTTATAACTCTACTTATAACCTACTTACTAAGTCCCCTGCCCTTCCAAGTGGAGGCCATGAGTGTCCCTGAACCACTTCTGCCGGGGGTTTGGCGGTTTCTCTGAGCCAGCCTCACAGACCTTGACTCTTTACACATCCAGCGACCGTCGCCGAGCGAGGGGCAAGTTGTTGCCAAAAGCCCTTGTTTTCTCGGCGACCGGCCGGCACAGGCTGCGAGGACAAACAGCCCAACAACCATCCCTTTGAGCTGTGGCGTGCTGTGAAATGTGGCCGCCTTACTTTTTGCATATGTGTCGAACAGCCACGGGGAGCAGAAAGCAAGCAAGCCACCCAGGAGGGGGGGGGGGCTTGCCCTAACTGGGAACAGTTGGGGTGGTTGGGGCGGGACTATAGGCTGCCGCAAGCGTGCGACAAGTGCGCGCGCCCCCATTCCTAAAGCAGTGCGCGCACAGACACACACACACACACAGACACACACACACACACCCTCTCTCTCGACTCATCGCAACACCCAAATCCTACACCCTCCTGGACCCTAAACCGCTTAAACCCGAAATCTCTGCTTCCTGGGCATTCCGGCTGCTTCTCGTTGGCTTGCGAAGCCCATCTTAGCTCAGAGGACGGCTTCATCCATTTGGCCACCAGCCGAGTCTCCTCTTGAACGGTTTGGGGTTTAGGGGTTTAGGGGTTTCGGGTTTAAGGGTTTAGGGGTTTGGGGGTTTAGGGGTTTAGGGTATGACCATGATTGAAACTGGGCAGTTTCCCAAAGTGTCACCGACAGTTCGTGTGGGCTTCTTGTTTGGGGTTCAGGATTTGCGGGTGCAGCTTTTCATGCTTCTATGCCTCCTGCTGCGGCTACTTCAGTTGGCCCTTGCTGCTACTCTCAGCATGATCCACTGCATCTAAGCCATTCCCATCCCCTTAGCACCCCGCAACCTAAACCTCTCCAGTCCGAAACCCTCTGAAGTCCTAACCCGAAGGGTCCATGTACCCAAATAGTACACACTTTGGGCCCAATGTGCCCATATAGGGAGTACTTTAAGGCCAATGTATATATATACTATTTGGGCACATGGACCCTTGGGGTAGAACCCAATCAAAAGACTCAAATTCCCTATGAAGCCAACTTAAGCCCTTGACCTCCCTAGTAAGTGCAGATCCGGCGGGTCCTTCTCTTTTTCGCCTGCAATGGCGCGAAGTCGGATGATGAAGTCGGAGTATAGATAGGGTTTAGGGGGGTATGTATATGATAGATACATAAGGTTCAGACTTCAGACACTATAAAATCAGGGTTTAGGCTGTTATCTTCATGCCGGGTCTTCTAGGGCTTTCTATTACATATGTCAATGTGTTGGTTTATGGTAAGCCTTCGGAGTGTTTTGAAGGCTCTTGCCTGCAAGGTGGACTTGCCTGCTACGCTGAGCCCTTGGCTCCATAGCGATTCTATCCTTGAAGAGCCAACATGAGCCCTGACATCACAGACAGCTGCTCATAATTTGCTAAACCCCAAATTATGACCCTATAAGCACTGTTTTTAAACTTGGAGGTTCATGGGTTGCTATAAACGTAGGGCTATGAATAGGGTAAGTATACGTACTTATAACCCATATTAGGTGACTTAGAACTCCACTTATAACTACCCATGAACTTCCAAGTATATCTCTATAATTATCTCTATGACCCCTCACCCTGGCTACTTAAACCCAAACCCCAGAATTAACCTTCTAGACCTAGAGGCTCATACGCCACCCCTCTTTTAGAGTACCTAGCTTTATGCTTAGAATATGTTAGAAAAGTACGTACACATCCCAACAAAAAGGTGGCATATGAGCTTCTAGGTATAGCCCTATAGCCTTATAAGTTATAAGCGTTTAACCCTGAAGCTGCCATTTCCATTGCCGGGCTGATGGCTTGCCCGAGCTGTCGTCGGAGGTTTAGGGTTTAGGGTTTAAGGGTATCTGTCTGGGTTTAGGGTAACGCTTAAAAAATAGAATAGGGTTTTGGGGAAAAATCTACGATAACTATAGTAAGAAAGCAGCAAAATAGTAGAGGTAATCATTTAGGCCCCTGCACCCAGAGGGTCCAAAGTACCTATATGGTAGAATGTAGGGTTTCTATATTAGGAATTACAATTATGATTTGGGGAAGTATCCCCCATAACAGTACCTAGGACCCTTTGGGACATTATCAGGGACCCTTAATGAGGACCCCTAGGTATATACCCTTAATATAACCATTATATACCCATTATATAGCCCATTATAGGGTAGGGGTCCCCATTAAGGGTATCGGGCCATGGTCGAAGGGCCGTCACCCGACGCGACCTCTGGGGCCAACTTGTCTGGTATCATGAAGAACTGAAGGTTATCCTTTTTACCCATAGGCCTCAAAGTAGTTCCTTTTAAAGAATACCTCACAGGATTCTATATAGGAACCCCAAAAAGGGAACTACTTTGGGGCCTTAGGGTAGTTATATAGGGGGAATATAGGGACTATACTACCCAAAAAAAGGTTAAAGGTTACCTGCTCTACGACTACTAGGCTGGATAGCATTGAACGGGGCACAAGCCCGGCGCATCATGGCTGCCAGGAGCGCCTTCGAATCCATTTGGGAATTTTCGAAAATAGGGGACCCTAATATGGTACCTTAAATACTAGTATCCTTATTATAAGGACCCCAAAATAAGGTACCCCTAATTTTCGGAAACTCCCATTTTACCATCCAAGCGCACTCTCCCTGAAGTCGTGATGTGGCAGTTGACCGTTTGGACCAAGTTTCGACTGGACTGCCGGAACAGAGTCTGGCCCCTGATGCCCAACGGTATTGATGAGAGCGTGATGCTCCGTCCCAGAGTAGAGCAAGTCAAGAACAATGCCGGCTATGGCCCACTGCCTGTAGAATACGAACAGCTTGTCATCGCGATTTGGCACTCAACTCGACCCGAAAAAACCCGTGCCGTCTCTACTAGTTTCATGGAATTATCTGCCCGGTTCAGGACTTGTTAAATTGCGCGTCCATGGTTTTGCGGATTAAGTGTACACTTTTAGTTTCATAGTGGGTAATATTATCCAAGAAAGTGTAAAGTGTATCCACTCAGCGACTAAGTAGATGTTGTAGCATGTATTGAATCTGTCTCTGGGGGTTGGGAGTTTGAAGGATCCCGGAGGATGGATGGACAACCACCGCCAAAGTCTCGTAGCTTTTCGGGTGTGAAGCCCTGCTCGGATGGCTGCTGACGGCTGCGCAGAGTAATCAATTAGGGCCCCTTTCGATGGATTCGGGTTTTGCGTATTGAGAGTGCTGTGACAGATTCGTCAATAATCGGCAACTCTTGTGTTGGGCACAATGGGTAACAAGGGTACGACGCGACATACCACCACCACAACATTACAACAGAAGTTATATTAATATTCCTCTGCTGAATGCACTAAGCTTACACACACACACACATACAGACAGCCGTACACCCATCCGCCTCGTTTTGCAGTAAATCGGAGCTTCCACACCTCATGCGCTCTCGAGCATGAAGCTGTCAGATAGGACTCACGGGGCTTCGAGCTCGAAGCACGAGGTTGTAGGTTGTAGGGTTTGTGGCTCAGATACCCGAAAACCCTAAACCCAAAGTAGTGTAAACTCTACAAGTATCGGTACCATGGCAAACCGGCCGTTTGGTAGATGGTCGTAAGCATCCTCTTCAGCTTTCGGGCAGCGAGTATGAAGCCGACTACACCTCGCCGCACATGAGCTGAGTAAACACTCAACACCAGATCAGTGCATGCACACACGCATGAACCCGCGCACGGATACATGCGCTACTTAATCTCCTACATAGTTGGCTGCACAAGATCCACAACCTGCTGTGCACGACCGAGGTGTTCATCTATAGCAGTACCCGTAGCTACCCAACCTCAACTCGGGGATTCCGCACTGCCATCATCACGGGCCAGGATCATGAGAATATCCTCTAACGCACCAATCATCGCCCGCATGTCTGTGTACCTAAGTAGTATAAACATTGGCCTTAAAGTACCTATGTAGGGAGTACTTTAAGACCAATGTATATACTATATGAGTACATGGACCCCGGGGGCTGCAAAGCAATCCGCTGCCTCAGGCTTCACTGTCACAACTGTTCGCATCCGGAGGATGCTCGGGGCCTACGGCAACCGACGATGCAGCTCTAGCAAACCGCTGCAGCACCCTTAGAAAACTCACGTAACACCCTTATGGGACCGTATAATTAGAGCCCTATAAAACAAGGGCGAGACGAGGCCCAGAGCACTTACATCCCCCAACGCGCAGAAGTCTCCAAGCCCTGAGTGCCGTGCTGGTGTCGACTTTCCGCCGGTGAAGCGCTCTCCGGCCTGGGGGTGAATCCTTCACCCAAAATCCGAAAGAGGGATACTTTCCATCAATATTTGGGAGTTTGCGACAATATGGGGTACCTGAAACTCCCACTTCGACCCCCATTTTGGCCTCCCCTGCTTCGCCAAGAAAGGGGTGCGGAGTTTGGCTCATGCCTTTTCAGGCATTTAAGAATCGTTTAAGGTTGGACAGGTTTGGGCCGTGGCGTTTTTCTCCGTCTCCTTCTCCCGCTCCCCCTCTCGCTCTGTCTCTCTCTCTCTCTCTCTCGCTCTCTCTTTCTCTCTTTCTCTCTTTCTCTCTTTCTCTCTTTCTCTCTCTCTTTCTCTCTCTCTCTCTCTGTCTCTCTGTCCCTCTCTCTCTCTATCTCTCTCTCTCTCTCTGTCTCTCCCTCTCCCTCGCTGAAGCTACATCACATTGTGGGGTTCTCGCAGGGTCAAGACATCTTAGTATAGGAACCCTTTAAAGGAACCTTGGGTTCAGAGTCAGTGGGGCTGTTAAACTGTTACTGCTACGTGCTATCTGCCCTCGGCTCGGCTCGCACCGTTCCCACCTTCTGAGTCAGATGACGGAAAACCCAGAGTTTCCTCCCAAAACCTACTTGATGCCCAAGCTTTTACATAATCATTCCAGAACATCCTGCTTCGCTGAGGGTACCTCAAACAAAACAAACTCTACACCCAAAGGCCTACCAAACCCTAGACCCAAAACCCAAACCCCAAACCTAAACCCCAAAACCTAAACCCAAACCCCAAACCTAAACCCCAAAACCTAAACCCAAACCCCAAACTCGAAACCCGAAACCCTAAAACCCTAATGAAGCCCTATAGAGCCTAGGGACCTCTCCTCCCGACCCGCGCCCAAGTCGCCGGCAGTTTGCTCCAGGAGGATTGGGCCAAGCTGGGCCTCGCTTGAATCCATAGGGTTTAGGGTTTAGGGTTTAGGGTTTAGGGTTTAGGGTTTAGGGTTTAGGGTTTAGGGCTCATGGTTCAGGGTTTCGGGTTTAAGCCACAACCCCAAACCCTAAGTATGCGTAGTACAAACTAAAGGCCCCTGACCAATGAACTTTCCTGGACCCTGTAAAACCTACTTTTACTTATGAAAGGAAATCATACGAAGGAGCCGCTAGAACCTGGATCACTGTCACGATCACGCACAAAACAGAAAGGACATAGTCCCCGAACAAAGGCCGAACGGTTGATGATATAAATCCTGCATTACCCAAAGTAAAGAATATACCATAATTCCCATACTCTAGGGTCCTTAAGGTCATGCAGGATTTATATCATCAACCGAAGGACCCCTCATGCTGGCCATGGAGGAACCCGACCCTCGCCGGAGAAAGGTGTCGCACATGATTAGCTCAGGGTTCCCAGAGAGCCCAATACCCCTTAACTAAGGAATATACCTTAAACCATTAGGGGCTTCATACTATGATAGAAGCTATCTTCCTTGATTAAGGTGTTTTGGGCTCTCTGGATTTAGGGTTTCGCATTCAATCCAGGTGATGCTTTTCAGGGTGGGGGTCTTTTGGAAAAAAGGCGCATAGACCCGGCAGGAGCCGCGCTCAAAACAGATCTCCAACGGCTGCTCATGGCAATTAATAAAGATCGCAAGGTTTCTTCAATCCTTACCCTAAGGCTCTAAGGACTCATATTTTAAGGCTTTTGGGCCCAAAGACCATAATATGTAAGGCTTTTGGGCTATTTCGAGCCTTAGGGTTAGGTCCAGAAAGCCCGCTCCTCCGCAGTCTTAACACTCCGATCAGCAAGAACTAAGCACTGGCACTGGGTTTCGTTCTTGGGCGCACCGAAGGTGTGTTTGAATAGCCTCCCCAACCAACGAGCGCATGGACCCTGGACGCTGATGCCTGGATTGGAAACCTTATGGCGCCCTACTATACCCAAACTTTCAACTCCTGCTACCCAGAGTGTAAACCGGAAGCTCATAATTAAGCCAGCAAGGGATTATCCCCAAATCGGTACCTCGCAAAAGGAAAGCTAGAAAAGATTCCAGGCTACATGCAGGTTGGACGACAGGGGCTCCCTGGTTTAAATTTGAGGATTTTCAACCTTGTGCCCCAACCCCTTAAAAAAACCCTATGCCCTATAAGCCCTAAACCCTTTTAAGCTTCAAATGTGGAGGACCCAAAGGCCCAAAGGCTCTGAAAAAGGGTGTTAGGGTCCATGGTTCAAAAATGGCTGAGGGTAATCATTAGGGTTTAAGGTTGAAGGTCTAACACGGAGTATCAGGTTCTCAACAGTGATAGAGTTTCTTGGCTTTGGGTCTCCGGATTGAGTGTTTCTATACTACAATGACGCCTGTATAGGAGACCCTAAAGGCGCTACAGCGGCTGCTACGACTTCTGCGCAGGAACTTTGGAACATTGCTATAAGCTTGGACCTCAAATTATCCTGTGTGATCCTGGAAACCTGCTTCTGAATGTTCATGCCACTGACTTGGTTTAGTGTTTTCGTGCACTTCTCGACAAAAAACCTAATGCCCTGCACCTTGAGCAACAAGCCGCAACCCTCAACATTGGCCCCGCCTCCAAAGCCCTTAAACCCCGAAACCCGAAGCCCTGAGCCCTAAACCTAAGCCTGTCTATCCCCGCGAAACCATGGGAAAGAACGGGCCTTCAACAACTTCTCGAGACTCGGTCGGAGCAGCTCGCCATCTTTGGCCTTGGTGGCTCAGAGGCACCGGAGTAGGGTTTAGGTTTTAGGGTTTAGGGCTTTTGGGTTTCGGGGTTTGGGGTTTAAAAATTCTGGGTTTAGGGTTTAGGGCTTCGGGGTTTAGGGTTTCGGGGTTCAGGGTTCGTCAAGGCTTCCTGTCAGGGATCTAGCAGCACGGTCTTAAGCTTTGGGAAAGTTTCCGGTACAGATGTAGGAGCCTCAATATTTTGAACTTGAAAAACTCCACTTGCTGCTAAAACTTGGTCTTGCGCGTCTTTATTTATCCCAGCTACATATATATGGACGACCTATGCAGATGCCCACGAAGACTCCCAGCCGGCAGGTGCTCCCGAAGCCAGCCTCGAGTGTCGCTTGGCACCAGACTCGGACTGCGGGGACGGCCAGCTCAGATGCTTCTGGAACACATGAAGTGCACGGTTTAGGGCTTATAAGGGTTTAGGGGTTTAGGGTTTAGGGTTTAGGGGTTTAGGGGTTAGGGTTTAGGGTTTAGGGGTCATGGATAGTGCATAGCGCTTTCTCTTGGTCGTTTATTGATCGAAGGGCGACGTGCAGAAAAGTGAGCCCCAGGCATCTCGCCTTCGCAAAGATCGTCTTCTGCCGAGCAGCTTCTAACGGCCTTTGCCCTTGTCCTTGCCACTGGAGAGGCTGCTTTTCGACCTCGGTCGCCAGTGACAGAGACCGAGAGGTACAAGTACCCGCAGCAAAGCCCTTGCTGGGTCCGTGAGGTGATCATCGAAATCTCGGCGGCTTTCGTGCCCCTGATGGCCCGAGTGCCGCTACGAAGAACGACGATCCTAGCTGATGCTCGCGTCTGTCTTCCGCCTCTTCCAGGTCCGTAAATTGCGCGCCCCGCGACCAAGTGCGCTTGCTGCCGCCTTTGCTGCCGTGCTGCCCGCGCCTGTACAACGCAAGGCTGCGTTGCTGGACATCCGACCTTTATCATACATTATAATAAGTAATAAGCCTGAAGCCTCTAAAGCGTACTGAATACCCGAAGAGACCTGCATTTTCATTTGACTTCCAAGACCGGCTGTAAGTGGGTTCCTACTTGTCCAGTATCCGTGGGAACTAAAGGTTATCCTTTGGGAGTATATTAGAGATTATGTAGGGATTATAGTACCCCAAAACGCTAAAGGTTTCCTACGCCACTACTAAGAGCCCCTGACAGAACCCCTATGGGGCCCTTATAAAACTCCAAACCCTAGAACCTCTTAAATAAAGGTTACCTACTGTACTGCTAGCAGACTAGGGATTTTTTCATATTCCTCAGGTGTCGACCTCCCCTGGAAAACTCTCCACTTCTGTGTACCAGGCGAAAAAATGCTGGCCAGAAGAAGGGCTTAGGGTCTGAGCCCTGTGGGGTTCTTTGGTGCAGGGTTTTGTCATCTTCTGGTGTTAGTTGTTGCTGTTGTTGCGGCCAGGTTAAGCACTTCTTCCGTCATTGGCTGTCATGCAGAAATTTCTGCTGTACCTGCGAGCTGCAAGCCTTCAAGTAGAGCATACATTGGAGCCGCAATCACCAGAAAGTGCTATTTGGCGCACTGTCACTATCCAATGAGTATCACAAGGAACCCCAAGGAATAGCTTGAATAGTACTTCTAATTCATTCTTAAGACACCTGCCCTATAAACCCTATGAGCCCTAAACCCCTGAACCCTGAACGTCTGAAACATACCCAACACACTAAACCCCTAATGCCAACCCGAATCCCACAAAACCCCAAAAGCCTAAACTCTAATCCCAAAACCCCGAAAACTAAACACAAAAACGAAGATCCTAAAACACCAAAAGTCCAAGCTCCCAAACAACAAAACCTTAAACCATCCTAAACCCCTAACCCCTAGAGTAGATCCTGGAGCTCTTAGAGGAACCCTTAAAGGACCCCCTTCAAGGAACCCTTCAAGGACCCGTTAAGGTACTCTAGGGGCCTTAATAATTAGAAGCGGGTTTTGGGGAACGTTATACTAGAATGATAACAAGGACCACCCCCCCCCCAAAAAAAAAAAAAAAAACAGTGGCAATTATTCAAGTCCCTATAGTTTCGTAGCCGTACTCTACTATAGATCCCTTGTAGACCCCTTTTAAGGATCCCTTTAAAGGGAACCCCAGGGAATTATTTGGGAGTTTCCGAAATTAGGGATACCTTATTCGGGTCCTTATAATTAGGATCCTACTATTTAGGGTACTATATTAGGGTCCCCTATTCTCGGAAACTCCCAAATCCCTAAACCCTAAACCCTTTATAGACTTATAGATCCCTTAAAGGAACCCTTAAAGGAACCCTTAGGGTATCCTGTCCCCTGTTTTCGGAAACTCCCATTCAGGCCCCTTAAAGTCAAGCCTGGAGCAGAAGGGCCTCCAAAGCAGAAAGTAGGGGACCAGCCATCGGTGCGTCCACACTTGGACGTTCATGTGCAGCTAGAAGGGTGTCTTTAAGGGCCCCTTTACTGGGTTCTATAGGGATTTCGTGTTGTTTTTTTTAGGACCCGTTTCCGTGTCGCAGATCCGAAAGCCTTAGGGTTTAGGGTTTAGGGTCGTTATCAGTGGTGCTAGAAGTCCCCTAATATGGATTATAAGTAGAGTTACCCTACTGACAACCCTACGTATAACCAATAAACCTCGAAGCAGGGCCATTCTACTCCAAAGCTCTGGGTTAGGTGAGGCTTGAAGAGGGGGTAGGGTTTAGGGTTTGGGAAGGCTCTGGGTAAAGGGGGGTTTGAGGTTCAGGGCCCAAGAGGGCTTAGGGGTTAGGAGGGTTCAGGGCTTCAATTTTGAGTTTCTGGAGGCCATGAAGATTGGAAGTATTTCGGTATGGCTATAGGCGGTAACCCTACGGAATCTTTAAGACTATTACGCGGGTACAAGGCATGGTGTGCGAGGTTCTGGGTGTGGTAGAGAGACTCTGCCACCCAAACCATCGACCTAAAATCCTCGCCACGGTTTAAGGTTTAGGGTTTAGGGCTTAGGGTTTAAGGTTTAGGGCTTAGGGTGTCAGCGTGGTTCCCAAATGTTCCTAAGCTAGACCCTGCGCCCTGCGCTGCAGAGGTTGAGGGTTAAGATTCGTTCTTTGCTACACACAAGGGGTTTCGCGTCTGTAGTGTTGCAGGTTTCGAATTGTACCGCTTCAATGGCCCAAGCCTCAGGGCATTCACACTGGTAAAAGTTGGAATTGTGGACTTTTCGGCTCATCGTGTGTAGCCTAAGTATTGCTGTTCCCATGCCAGTGCTGTCATTTCTGAGCTGAAATTGTTGTGGCTACTGTTGTCTGCAGTTGCTTCGAGCCCATGTGCTGCCGTTATCGGCGAGAGTGTGATGCTTGTTTATAGAGGGCATGAGATTCGAGGGGCATGTCCACAGTGGATGACAGGAAGCCGTAAGTAGTAACTGTACCAGAGGCCACGATTGAAGAACACGGGAGGGTGGCAAAGGCTTGGATGAAGGTTGGTTTATGGGTCAGGACTGTACTATAGGGACCTAAATTGAAAATAGATACCTGTATGCTATTTTGGGGGGGGGGGCTCCTTATTATCATTCCAGCATAATGGGCCCCGAAACCCTATTCTAATTATTTAGGGTTGAAGTTATGCACAGAATCCCCAGCAATGGAGATCTTGTATATAATACAGGAGCCTTCTACCTAACAACGCGCCAGCGGGCTGTTCACGCGCGCCAATTAGGAAAGAAATGTTGCAAACGTCGTCCCTGCCGAGTGTTTCGCATCTTGCACTACAGCCGCGCGGCGTGCAAAAGTTCCAATTTTTTCTCCATTTTCGCTGCACCCTCTACGTTTTCGCTCTGTCAGAACAACCAGGCTGCATCATGCTGCACATCGCAGTAGCGCGACGGATCGCATCCCAGCAGTCCCGCTCTCTCTGTACGATAAAGACGCAAGGCCTGGAAAATGGGTTTGAAGCCAGGTTTCCGCAACAGGCGACGGGCAGAAAGAAGGGTCGTGTGCGCATTGCGCGGTGCCATTCTGCCCATAGCACTGAGCCTGCGCAACTGGTTCTTGCCAACAGCAATCTGGCTCTCGCATTGATTATCACCATCCACAACTCGAACATTTCTCTTCTTGGAAGAAAAGCACCCCGCCGGTTTCTTTGAAGCAGCAGCTTTCTCGAGAGTGCGAGTCTGTTTAAGACGTTATCATGGTTGCCACATGGATGCTCTGCGGGAATGGATGGAGTCTGATCTGGACGTTATCATGGTTGCCACATGGATGCTCTGCGGGAATGGATGGAGTCTGATCTGGACGTTATCATGGTTGCCACATGGATGCTCTGCGGGAGTGGGTGGAGTCTGATCTGGACGTTTTCATGGTTGCCACATGGATGCTCTGCGGGAATGGATGGAGTCTGATCTGGACGTTATCATGGTTGCCACATGGATGCTCTGCGGGAAGGGATGGAGTCTGATCTGGACGTTATCATGGTTGATGGATGGAGTCTGATCTGGACGTTATCATGCTTGCCACATGGACGCTCTGCGGGGACGGATGGAGTCTGATCTGGATGTCTTCATGGTTGCCCACATGGATGCTCTGCGGGAATGGATGGAGTCTGATCTGGACGTTATCATGGTTGCCACATGGATGCTCTGCGGGAATGGATGGAGTCTGATCTGGACGTTTTCATGGTTGCCACATGGATGCTCTGCGGGAATGGATGGAGTCTGATCTGGACGTTTTCATGGTTGCCACATGGATGCTCTGCGGGAGTGGGTGGAGTCTGATCTGGACGTTTTCATGGTTGCCACATGGATGCTCTGCGGGAATGGATGGAGTCTGATCTGGACGTTTTCATGGTTGCCACATGGACGCTCTGCGGGAAGGGATGGAGTCTGATCTGGACGTTATCATGGTTGCCACATGGATGCTCTGCGGGAAGGGATGGAGTCTGATCTGGACGTTGTCATGGTTGCCACATGGATGCTCTGCGGGGGCGGATGGAGTCTGATCTGGAGCGTTATCATGGTTGCCACATGGATGCTCTGCGGGAATGGATGGAGTCTGATCTGGACGTTATCATGGTTGCCACATGGATGCTCTGCGGGGACGGATGGAGTCTGATCTGGACGTTATCATGGTTGCCCACAAGGATGCTCTGCGGGAATGGATGGAGTCTGATCTGGACGTTATCATGGTTGCCACATGGATGCTCTGCGGGAATGGATGGAGTCTGATCTGGACGTTTTCATGGTTGCCACATGGATGCTCTGCGGGAGTGGGTGGAGTCTGATCTGGACGTTTTCATGGTTGCCACATGGATGCTCTGCGGGAATGGATGGAGTCTGATCTGGACGTTATCATGGTTGCCACATGGATGCTCTGCGGGAAGGGATGGAGTCTGATCTGCACGTTATCATGGTTGCCACATGGATGCTCTGCGGGAATGGATGGAGTCTGATCTGGACGTTATCATGGTTGCCACATGGATGCTCTCCGGGGACGGATGGAGTCTGATCTGGACGTTATCATGGTTGCCCACATGGATGCTCTGCGGGAGTGGGTGGAGTCTGATCTGGACGTTTTCATGGTTGCCACATGGATGCTCTGCGGGAATGGATGGAGTCTGATCTGGACGTTATCATGGTTGCCACATGGATGCTCTGCGGGAAAGGATGGAGACTGGTCTGGACGTTATCATGCTTGCCACATGGATGCTCTGCGGGAATGGATGGAGTCTGATCTGGACGTTATCATGGTTGCCACATGGATGCTCTGCGGGGACGGATGGAGTCTGATCTGGACGTTATCATAGTTGCCACATGGATGCTCTGCGGGAATGGATGGAGTCTGATCTGGACGTTATCATGGTTGCCACATGGATGCTCTGCGGGAAGGGATGGAGTCTGATCTGGACGTTATCATGGTTGCCACATGGATGCTCTGCGGGAATGGATGGAGTCTGATCTGGACGTTATCATGGTTGCCACATGGATGCTCTGCGGGGGCGGATGGAGTCTGATCTGGACGTTTTCATAGTTGCCACATGGATGCTCTGCGGGAATGGATGGAGTCTGATCTGGATGTCTTCATGGTTGCCTCATGGATGCTCTGCGGGAATGGATGGAGTCTGATCTGGACGTTATCATGGTTGCCACATGGATGCTCTGCGGGAGTGGATGGGGTCTGATCTGGACGTTATCATGGTTGCCACATGGATGCTCTGCGGGAATGGATGGAGTCTGATCTGGACGTTATCATGGCTGCCCACATGGATGCTCTGCGGGAATGGATGGAGTCTGATCTGGACGTTATCATGGTTGGCACATGTGGACGTTATCATGGTTGGCACATGGATGGATGGAGTCTGATCTATGGGCCACCCATGGATGGTTTGGGCGACGTGGGCTGACGTGGGCTGTAGAAAGTGCCGAACACACCGTAATTACCGGTGTGTTCGGCATATGACCCTAAGGAAACACCGTAAATACCGAGGGAAACGGCAGGTGCAAAATGTGGGTTTCAGTAGGTGCCGAATATACCGTAATTACCGGTGTGTTTGCCATGCGACACGAAGGAAACACTGTAAATACCGAGTCAAAGGAGGCGCGCAATCTGCGCGTGCACAGCCTGCTGGAGGGTACCTAAAAGGATTATGCAATGGGGTATACACTTCTAATTCACTACTTCAATTTTGAGGGGTCTCCTTCGGGTTATTCACCCTGAACCCTAAACTGTGTTGTGTCTTTCTCCTTATGATCGACATTCTTACCAGTCTGAACATAGCTTTCACCCACCAGAAAATTCGGCCAGCGCATGGTGCCTTCAGGTTATGGATTAGTGTTTAGGGCTTAATGAGTAGGAACCTGATTAAGAACCTTGGGCCTTTATTCGGGTTCCTTATATGGGTGGTTGTCAAAATTATGGTTGAGTTTTGGGTACCCTAAATATTAGGTGCCGGACTATATTAGGGACCCCAAAAGGGACCTTAACTTTGACAACCGGGGACCCATATGAATCCTGCCTACTATTTTTGGGGTGATAGGCCCAGGGGCGGCCCAAAAGTTTCTTGATCAGGTTCCTAATTGCATCAGGGCTACAGGCTAGACCCAAGAGTAACCTAGGAAGAAAAAGGGTGCCCTTTTTGGTTTGAAGGGGGTTATAAGGGAACCTAAACCCTTAAAAAGGGAATAAGGGCCTACTCTGGGTCCTAGCAGGTTTTGGGAGCTTTTAGAGGGTTTCAGAGTATAGACGATAAGGCTCCTGGACCCTTGTGGCGAGATCCCAAAACCCTAGCCCCCCAAAGCCGCAACCCTCCCCCAGAAGGCCCAAGACCCTGTTTGGAGCCTTAGGGTATTGTGTGGGGGCTCCAGGGTTTTAGGGTTTTAGTGCGGGTTGGGGTTTTGTACGGTTGGTGACATAAATCCTGCACAACCTTAGTG